CAGGGACACTACCTGAGTGCACTGTGCTGGACACCTGAGTGCACTGTGCTGGACAGATCTTCTCACAGGGCCACTACCTGAGTGCACTGTGCTGGACACCTGAGTGCACTGTGCTGGACAGATCTTCTCACAAAAAGAGCTTTGCTTGGCGGCATTAAACCCTGTCAGGCCACTAACTGTCATGCTGATTCATGAGTAATGAATGAATGATAAAGTGTTTGGCTAATGGTGTGTTTCATGTGGCAATGAGTAGTATAAGATACTAAAATCACTTGTTCAGAAGCACTTCTTTAGTTTATCTTTGCCTTAGTGTGTGTGATGTTGAAAGAGGACAGAGAAGAAGCCATTTACATTTAGATACTTTATTCAAGCTGGTCATTTTGGAAGCTTCACCATCACCTAGTGCTGTTTAAATAAATATGCTGCAGGGATCATACATTTCACAACAGCAGAGTTTGAAAGGAAATACAATCTGCATATGTGATCAGATATTTTTGTTCATGGTATGGAAAATCCTTGTGGAATTTACACTGACATATTCACAGTTCACAAAAACAAATAGGAATTTGTGAGAAAATGTTTGTCTCTCATTGTTGCCATTCCATGCTGTGGTGTCTCTCTCATTGNTCTCTCATTGTTGCCATTCCATGCTGTGGTGTCTCTCTCATTGGCCTCGTAATGCTTTAAAAGTCCTGTAAGAAGTATAAGGCCGTCACTTAGCTGTTAACGGCAAAGTGGAAGAGGTCCGTTTCGACACCACCCTGGTCTAAGAGCGGCCCAGTCTCTGCTGGAGGGTTATGTACCCAGCACAGCTTACTGACAGACTCTCAGCTCTGCCCTTTGATGGTTGTGCTGGTGCTGCTTCAGGAGCACCGTGGCCTCCTCCTCAGGGCCCGGCTGTTGCTGCCGCTGCAGCTGGCAGGCTTCACCCTCTTTGCCGGCTGCTGACTCGCTTTGTTGGGCACCTTGCAGCCGGACCTCTTCTGAGCCTTGCTGGAAGTGGCTGGTGTCTCTGCAGCCTCGGGCTTGGCCTCTGGCATGGCATGGGAGTCTCCGGCATCCCAGCTGAGGGAACGTGGCGAGCGCTCTGGATTCACGTCGCAGTGGATGGAGCCAGCCAGCTGGCAGAGGGCGAAGGCTGCTGATTGCTTCTGCTCCTCACACGCATCCGGGCTCGGCAAGGTGTCGTCACGGGGGGATCGCTGCCTCACCGGTGGCACCTTCCCTCCTGATCCACAGGACAGAGGCCCCATGGTGACCCTGAGGGACAGATTCAGGGGCATGTCCTGCTGTGCCTCCAGTGGCATTGGACTGCTACTGCCGCCGCTGCTGCTGCTGCAAATGTCTACTGCCTGCTTCTTGGAGAGGTTCAGAGGAACAATGTTCTCTATCTCCTCATTTTCCTCTGTTTCCTTCTCTTCTTGCTCATCTCCTGACTTCTCTTTAGTTACAAAGACTTGAGTCTCTGTTTTATACTCTACTAACCTGGAGTAAGAGAAGGTGGGCAGCCATTAATCTACAATCATTTGAAATGCAAACATTTAAGTCAGAGTGATTATGCAACATGGACAGTGCTTGAAAACTGACACGGTGTCTTACCTTTCATCCATAGGCGTCAAGCCCTCCTGCTGTGACTCAGGTGAGAATCTTGCTGGGCTGGCTGACTCACTCTTCACTGCCTGTGTGGTATGGACACCTTCATCCGACTGGTGGAGTGAAGCCATATTTCTGCCCACTGGGTGAGAATGGCCATTGCCGGAGTCCTTCTGGGAGAAATCGGTGGTGGTTGGCCTATCTGGGGATCCAGAGGCAGCACAGCCAGCCTTGGGGCTCATTCTCAACACTTTTCCCTCACCCTGGTCATGGCCAGCCAGCCTTGTGCTCCTCCCATCAACCTGGAGGTGGCGATGTGGGAAAATGCCATACTCCCCAGTTGCCATTGGCCTGACATACATTTCTGTGCGCAAGTGCTCTGGCCCTGTTATCGAGGGGTGGTGTTGCTCGGGAGCCCGGTACATCCCATAGTGAAGTGGGGCTGTCTGATGGAGAGACTGAATATACCGGTAGTGGTGTTCTGGCATGGGGAGGAGAGCAGGGGCTGGGAACAGCGAACGAGTCAACAGGGGCCTCTGGGGGTCTAGGACGTAGGGTCGTATGGGGGGTTCACGGTCCTGCTCATGCAGACCACCTGAAAGCAGGTATGGTGAATAAACTGGGAGCAGCGGGGTGTCGGGGAACACATAAGCTGGGCACTCCGAAAGAATGGGAGCAGGGTAACTGGATCCTGCGACGCTGCCCTGTTTGTGTTCAAAGGGTGGGAGCGGGATGAAAGCGGCTGGACGACTCCATGGGGAGGGGGGGTGGTAGAATGGGGGGGCAGGTGGGGTGAAGGCCTCTGGCTTGTGTACAGTTGCTGGTGTGTCCTTATCGCTGTCGCGATGGACAGGTGAGAAGGCTGAGGGTCGTGCCGTGGTCTCTGTCCGCTGTTTCTCAGCGTCTTTGTCTGGTGAACCCAACAATATTTCTGAGGCATTCGGAGCATCGCACCCCTTAGGGTTTGTCTCTCGCTCCTCTGCAGTACCCCGCTTTTCTGGCAAGGTGTCCATCGGAGGGCTCTGGGTCCGCCCCAAAGGGGACATGACAGCTACTGGTGCCGTCAGCGATGGAACTGCTGGTGTGGCTGGATCCGCAGGTTCGATGGAAGTGGAGACCGGGGAGGGGTCAGCTGGGGTCTTAGCCTGTTTGGTCACCAGGGAAATGGAGTTCTTGCATAGGTCATACTTCATGTGGTTGAAGAGGTGGGACTTCTCGTTGCAGGTGAAGGGACACTGAAAGCAGTGGTACTTGAATGGCTTGCCTGGGGGGCGGGGGATATAGTGGGGCTTCTTGGGTTTGCGTTCCTTAGCAGTACTCATGATGGGAAGCGGGGGCGGTGTTGCCGGCATGGAGGCACTTGGGAAGCTTTAGATATGTCAACTCTGCTTTAAGGGCACACTGGGGATGATTCTGGTTCAGTTACCGTGTGCCAGCAGTACTACTGAAGCTTGAGACATTCCTTTGGTTCAAGACCTGGATCAAAAGAAGAAGGTTCTGGTTAGGTGTGCAGCTTTCCCAGGTAATTATTCTCTCACATGACAAAGTGAACCTTATTCGCAACTCCCATCGCTCAGAGAGAGAACTAAATTCAGCTAAGAATAGACCTTCATAGGTCCTTGATACCTGCTTTGAATTTGTGTACCGGGACCCACTTGCCCATCCGCTAATATGCACGGTGAGCCTGTGTGAGTCTGCTGGCAGGACCACAGGTGAGCGAGGCCTGCAGGGACACGTTTCCCTCTCCCTCACTCAGACGCTCACTGAGGCACTGTGAGAGCCCGCTACCTCTCCGTTCCCACGGATACACCTGCGGGAGCCTTACTTCTCAGGCCTGACGCGCCTGATGGCATCATCCTTCTCCAAAGACCCCCCCCACACACACACACTCGGTTCCCAGACCTCACCAAGTACCCTTGGCTCTACCTCTGCGGTTCTATGGCTCCAAGCCTCATTATCAGAGTGTACACAACTGACGGAACCAGTTGCTAAACCCTGCAGTCACACCTACTGTCACCGGGCCAGTACCGCTGAGGCTGCTAGCCATTCCCCCGCAGGATGGGCCCCATGTTTGGTGGTTCTGCTTGGGGACAGCACTATGAGCACCTCTGTTCTGTCATCAGCCAAAATCACCCTGTCCCCACACTTTTTAGAGAGTGTCACATAGGAATGCAGTTGAAATTACTAATAAAATATTTTTTGTCATACGTAATAATATGAGTGATGAGGTTTTGTTAAAGCAGTGAAAATCTGCTATTAATTTAAACATAAGCGAGATACAGCAGTTTGGGTGTACGTTTAATTTTAATAACAATTTACATGGTTATAGATTATATATTATACATTATAACAAAATAATTTAATTTTTAAATTTGTCCAGATGTGCTTTTGTTCTCATGGTGTCTGCCCTCACTGACCCACAAGCAGCCATAAGCTGGTCCAGCAGCATTCTAGGAAGTGTCCCTAAAGCCGAAATATCTAGCTGCGGGCACCATGCCTTGAGTTCCACAGCAACGGAACAGCGTTAGCAAAGCAACAGCCATCGACGCCTGTCTCACGCAGTCACCGGGCGAGACCTGTAACAAACACGGGGCACTGATATTTATGTTTATTAAGATATCATATTGCTCTCATTAATCTTGTACAAAAAAAAATGAAAAGATCGCTAAGAGTTCTGAGAGTTCTGAGAGTGAGCAGCTGGCCGAGCCGGACCCCGGGCTGCGGCTCCGCCCTGAGACGCCGGGTTCTCTGGCTGTGCTTCAGGTGGTGCCTGACCGGGGCACCGCCAGCTATTACCACTGGGCTTTCTGTTGGAAGAGCTGTTGGCCACACCCTTTCTTAAGTCGGATAGAAAATCTGTGAAAACCTGTGTTTGTCTCACCAGAGAGCCCTAATTATTTCATATTTATATAATTTAAATATACATACATACTTTAGCTATAAAAATGCATAATTTATATGATACACTATTTTATGTAATATCTCAGTTATGTATTACATGTTCTGTTTATATTGATAACTAAGCCCAGGCAGGTGCTTCTCCGGGTATCGGTGGTGACGGCTGTGTATCGGCGTGTCGGCAAAGCCAGTGCGGGGGCCTCTCCGGGTATCGGAGGTGACGGCTGTGTATCGGCGCGTCGGCAAAGCCAGTGCGGGTGCCTCTCCGGGTATCGGAGGTGACGGCTGTGTATCGGCACGTCGGCAAAGCCAGTGCGGGTGCCTCTCCGGGTACTGGCGGTGACGGGTGTGTATCGGCACGTCGGCAAAGCCAGTGTGGGGGCCTCTCCGAGTATCAGTGGTGACAGGTGTGCAGCGTCATGCTGCCGAGGTAACTTGCCCACCTGTTGCAAATGCCACACTGGTGGCCGTGTGGTGCCTGCCTGCTCCCTACGGCTTGCGGTGCTAAGGGACCCACATGGTGTATTTACGAATCACAGACCATCCCCACAGTATATATAATAACGGAGCTCCAGATCTCTGCAGAGGAGCCAGCACTCCTGTGATTTGGATCGATGTTACAGGCCTGGGGCTGTTCCCCTGGGAAGCCCTACTTGCCGCCATCAGCGGGGACATCATCGCACGACAGAAGGAGGACACAGATGAGCCTTACCTTTGGAGCACGGAGTGGGAGAAGCGTCAGGAAGATCTCAGTGCTGCTTGTCCACTTGCTGGACCTGCCGCCTCTAACAAATTGCTCTTCTTAGCTGTCCGGTTTTCCGTCACTGGCTTTACTGTTCACTGATACCTGTCCTTCCACTGTGGAGTCACTGTTCACACTGTCCTGCACATGGAGGTGCTGATCTTCCTGCCCTGTCCTTCCCAACCTGTCCAGCCCTCTCTCTCTCTCTCTCTCTCTCTCTCTCTCACACACACACACACACACACACAGAGTCTCTTTCCTCCTCCCTCCTGCTTTCCCTGAAGAGCAGGCTCCTAGGGGGTGGGGCTCCCACCTATGCAGGGGGGCCCTGGGGCTGTGGGCACACAGCTGACGTGAAGTCGTCCTGGAGCCATGCGCAGCTCTCTCCATATGTGCGTGTGTGTCTCAGTGCGCTTTGCTGCGCCAGTACCAGAGGTTCAGGTCCAGAAAGTAATAATCCTGACCTAGATTTTGTTTCAACCAAATAGCTGAGTACTCTGTGACTGTGACTTTTTACACTCAACTAGTTGATTGAAACAAAATCTTGGTTTGGACTTGTACTTTCTGGACCTGAAGTATCCACCTTTTGACATTACGTTATCACACATATGCTGTGCCTGTCTGTGTGAGTCTGCATGAATGCTGTGTATGTCTTTGTATATTGAGTGTCTGTCCGTTCACACACTTGTGTGTGTGTTATTGTCTGCTAGCTTTTGTAAGTGTGTGTAAGCTGCTAGATGGTCTGTGTGTATGTATGTGTGTGCTGTCCATTCCTCTGTGTGTGCATGTATAAGGTGAGCAGGTATGTACGTAAGACGTTTGTCTGTGTAAGGTGTTTGCGGGTGTGCATGAGCAGTCTGTGGGTGTGTAAGGTGTATGTTTGCACATACAAGTCACTGTAAGGTGCCTGTTCACACATATAGTGTGTGTGTGTGTGTTTGTGTATGTGGTCATATGTAAGTGACATTTGGTCACCACAATGTGATTATAAACTTATTATTTTGACCTAATAGGGAGCTTTTATTGCTCCACACAAGGGGAAACTGAATTTTATAAAAATCTGTCACTGCAATCAAGAAAATAAAAATGCTAAAAGTCTTGTATTTTGCTTGGTTACTTATGGTTAAGGTTAGGGCTGGGTTGGGGTTAAAGTTGCCATTGTTGGGATTAGGGTTTTTCCCATAGAAATGAATGAACAATCCCCACAAAGATATGAATACATGGACTGTGTGTGTGTGTGTGTGTGTGTGGAATATGTTAATATTACATTGTGGGGACAAAATGTCCCCCACAATGTAATAAAAGCCTGTTATTTCGACGTTGTGGGGACCATTTTTCAGGTCCCCACAAAGTTCTGTGAATGCAATCAAAGTTGTCCCCGTAGGAATGAATGGAGCGTCCCCACAAAGACATAATTACAAACCTGTCTGTGTGTGTGTGTTTGTGTGTGTGTGTGTGAGTGTGTGCGTGTGTGCATGTGTGCACAGGGGCCGCGGGCGGGCAGGCATGATGGGGCCCGAAACAGGCTAAGCCAGCCAAACCAGCAGCCATCCTACGTTAGCATCCGCCTTCAGCCGTCTGACATCCTCATGACGAAGTGAAGCTGCTGCTCAATAAGGGCTTCCAGGTGCACATTTAGACTTTTGCCTGTAAAGTACATTCAGTGCAAAGGGAGACACTTCTGTGAGCTGGGCTGTCAGCTGTGAGGTGACAAAGGGCAGCCCTTCACTCTCCTGTAGAACAAAAACAAGTGTACAAGTCACAATCACGGCTTTCTTTGGGTTATCTACCCACCAGAGAGGTCCTGCAGGACAGTAAACTCTTCTCCCTTGGCGAGTGCACTATTCGACAGCATTAAAATACAGATATATGGTCATATGTACTGCGATTGGAAGCATTTTGAAATTTGGCACCACGGCTGAGTATTGAGCAACTCTGTTTTCAGTAAAGCACTTTAGCCTATGGGCACAGAAACAGTATTGTTTGGACACCCTGCAGGTATAATAACGACGCAGCTCTCACCCGAGCCAGGAACGCTCTGCACCTGCCACACGGTCGCGATTGCCGCCGCCGCAGGTGTGGGCTGGACAGTGGGCCTCGGGGCTGGTCGCAAACGTGGCTGCAGCTGGATGGCAGTGTGAGATGCATCAGCAGTGTGAGACGCCATCAGATGGAGGTGTGACGAGTAACAGTGGGGAGAGACGAGATGGCAGTGTGACATCTGATGGCATTGTGAAATATGACAATGGTGTGATAGTGGTGCGAAGCGTAATGCCGTGTGACATGTGGCAGCAGTATGAGGCGTGACGCTGGTGTAAAGCATGACGGCAGTGTGACATGTGACGGTGGTGTAAAGCGTGACGGCAGTGTGAGATGCGATGCTGGTGTAAAGCATGACGGCAGTGTGACATGTGACGGTGGTGTAAAGCGTGACGGCAGTGTGAGATGCGATGCTGGTGTAAAGCGTGATGGCAGTGTGAGATGCGACGCTGGTGTAAAGCGTGACGGCAGTGTGACATGTGACGGTGGTGTAAAGCGTGACGGCAGTGTGAGATGCGACGCTGGTGTAAATCGTGACGGCAGTGTGACATGTGACGGTGGTGTAAAGCGTGACGGCAGTGTGAGATGCGACGCTGGTGTAAAGCGTGACGGCAGTGTGACATGTGACGGTGGTGTAAAGCGTGACGGCAGTGTGAGATGCGATGCTGGTGTAAAGCGTGACGGCAGTGTGACATGTGACGGTGGTGTAA